GGGGAGTGACTTCTAGGGAATTCGGTTGGACAAGAACAAATGGCCATGTTAATTTCTCATGAAAGCTCAATAAAAAGGGGCTCTTTATTGGAAAAAAATAAAATAAAACAACCGAATACTGTAGCTCAACTTATTTATTTATTTTTTATTCATTCATTCATTCATTCATTCATTCATTTGAAACAGTATCTCAGAATCTCTGACTGACCTGGAACTTGCTGTGTAGACTAAGGTGGCCTCCAACTCACAGAGGCCTACCTACCTATGTCACAGGCAACCTTCAGTTGCTCAGTTCTTAAGGCCTCTTCCATAGGTTCTGTTCCTAAGTACAGTTCCATTTTTGACACAAAGAGGAGATAAAGGTTTGGATCTGGTATCTTACTTCTTACCTGCTCAGTGAACAGAATTATGACCAGAAGCCAGGAGAGACGTGGGCTAATGTCTAGACCTGTCTGGTTTGCAGCAACTCTGCTAAACCAGGGTCAAGATGCCAAAATCACTGCAGGAATATTTCTTTCCACTTTTATCTCCAAAATATGTTCTGAAGAGAGACATTAATGTATTTCTCTCCATTGTCACTGTGTATTTTTTTTAATTAAAATTTTATTATAAAGGACTTCCCCATGAATCATCTCTCTTCGCAAAGCCTTTTGTTTCACTTTCCTACATCTTCCTCATTCCCTTTAAGATGCCTGGCCGTTAGTTATCAAGTGTCCAGCAATTGAGAAGTGGTACTCTCATTATTTAATTTAATCTTAATTGCAGCCTGGAGGGAGTACATGTCAATATTGTATCATTGTTAACATTTCACAGCCGGTCAAGGTCACACACCTCCTAAGGGTGAATATCAATCTGTTTCTAATGCCAGACCCTGTGCCATTAGCAATTATATGAAACTACTGCCATAGAGCCAATGCTTCATAGTTACCTTTCCCCTGTAGTAAATAGTGTGTTCTGGTGTGAGTGTGTGTGTGTGTTTTAAAGATGCTAATTTGAGTTCTGTGTTTTGTAGTATAATGTAATGGCTTTTGATGGAAATTGCAGAAGTATTCTTAAACGTGGGCTCTGGTTCATTTAGCCTGTATTTGTATTTCTATTACTTATTATTTTGATTTTTCAGTTTATTCAGTTAAGAATGAATCAGGAGTGTATTTCAGGCCAAGGGATTTAAAGCGTCTTACTGCTTCTATTATCTAAGGAGAAAATGTTAGGTCACAGATGAATAAGGCAGGATTAAGTATCGTTTACCCAAGGATACAATCCAAGAAGGGGATGTTTTTTTTTTATTATTTTAGGAGATGTTAACAATGGCTATCTCTCTAAAAAGACACATTCATGAGAAATGGCAGAGTACAATAGGCATCAAGTGAAGTTGCCTTCCATTATTACATATATTCAAGATTTCATTTGTGGAAAAGTAGGTATACATTAATAAACACATGGCTTGCTTATCTTAGGCAAGCAGGAAAGGTTTTTAGTAAATCCTGATTTGGGGTGTTAATGGGGATGAGAGATTTCTTTTATCAAATGTAAGTATAAGGTGTGTTTATTTATGATGACCTTTTTATGATCGTACGCTGACAGAAAGGATTGGATGATTAAGTAAGTCACCAATGCCCAAAACAGAAACCGCAGTTTGGATTTGGCACTCCTAAGGGATGTACTGGAGCGCTCTCTCTCTCTCTCTCTCTCTCTCTCTCTCTCTCTCTCTCTCTCTCTCTTTCTCTCTCTCTCTCCTTCCCTCCCTCCCTCCCTCCCTCCCTCTCCTCCCCTCTCTCTCTCTCTCTTTCTCTCTCCCTCTCCTTCCCTCCCTCCCTCTCCTTCCTCCCTCCCTCCCTC